TGAGATATAGTTTTCCTAATTTAAAAATATAATTTACAGAGCAAGATCCTTCTTCTCATCGTACAACCAAATCCATTCATTCCATCATGCACTTATAGTTCTTTACCTTAACTGTGTCATTTAAGAAACAAATCCAATATTGACCGTATCTTTTTCTACCGGTTTGTTGTCAGAGGCGCAAATACAGGTTTTTAGCACGTAATAATATCGTTCAAAAAAGTCATAACTACAGTTTCGAGGAAGCTACTTTTCAAATTTATCCCTGAATAAAGAAAGTTCTCAGATTATCTAAGAGATTTATCCTTTTTCAAATTTAATTTAAAGCCAAGTCATTTTAGAGACCACAATTGCCAACATGCAAGAACCTCCATTTGAAAAATGTGAAGAATTTGAACATGGAAAACCAATTGTCTTAAATTTAATAATGCATTTCCATCTCAGGCTCAAATGTTAGGAGCAGCCTAGAGAAGAACTTAATGTGTGAATTATAAACTTCTGAAAACAGCAGCTTGTGATCAAGATATCGTAGGATTTTTCTTGATGGTGTATTCTCTCCTGCTTTAGTCGATATATTTCTAAATGTCTCGAGAGACTACTTTCTGAGCTTGCTCTCTTCACTGACCTAATAACTCAGAGAGCCAGGATGATTTCCTTAAAGCTTAGCTTACATTTTTTCCTTGAAAATTTCACCCTGCCTATGAGCCTGATTTTCATTCTAATACTGATTGCCTGGATAGTCTCACCCATAAGGGCCATTGTTAGGTTGTATTTTATGTCCCCTTTCAGCCCCCACATTCCGGTGAGTCCATGGGCTTAGTCTGATGAGTGCCCCTGCCACCCCCTTCCATCCTAGACAACCTTCCTGATCCAGCAAGCTAGGCCATGGTTTGAGACCTGAAAGCTCATGGTCACAGCCCTCCTCTGGCTCCAACATGATGACTACGGGGGGTCAAGCCTGCTCCTCCACAGAGTCTGAGCACAGTCCACAGCACAGACTTCCGAACACACAAACCCAGGGCTAAATCCCAGCACTGCCACTTTCTCACTATAGGACACTTGAGGAAGGCACTTCATCTTTCTGGGGCTCAGTCTCCGCACCTGTAAAATGGGAATAACAGGACATCCCAGGGCTGTGGCTGAGGTGTACTTTGATAACCTACGCAGAGCAAGTGGCCCAGTATGGTCCTCAGTAAGTGTGAAGCAATCGCAGTTATTATTCTTTGTGTTGTAACTCTCCCCTGGGCTACATGGTATTTGAAGGGATGTCCAGCATGTTGACTAAAGGCAAATTCGCCCCTGATCATGGGAATTTGCTCTTAAGTATGCGAGAATATGCAATTCTCAATTGCATGGAATCCCAGCAAGAGAAGCCACCCTAGCGAGGATTTAATCTGTGTATGGCTTCATTTCCCAGCCCTGGTAAGGCTCAGACTTGCTCCAGTGACCTGCTGTGCAGTGCCAGCACTCCCTAGGACTCAGAATTGAGGGCTCTGGCCAAGAGTTTTCCTTGCTCTTTTCTGCTCTCTGAGAAAGTCCAGTGCAAAACTGCAAACCCAACCCACACACCTTTCCAAGCAGCTCCTTAGAGCCCCACGTCTACCTGGAATTCAGAGTTCTTTCCTAGGGAAGACCACAGGGGGCAGCAGAACCCAGAAGGGACAGAGAGTAGTTCCATGCAGACAAATCCCGGAGAGAGGGGTAGCATTTTTCTGATGTCATTTCCAGCCATAGAGCAATTCTTCCCCAAATCAGAAGGGCCTCGGCACTGCAGGATGGCCCGGGACCTGCAAGCAGCCAAGGGAAGACAGTGGCCAAGCAGCTGCTGGTAACCTGCTTTTACCGGACCCATGCTAGTAGTGCTGGACCAAACTACTGATGTCTGGAAAGCTTTAGGACTGCCAGTTCACACCTCACATCCTTGAACGGCCACCACTTTGCTCCGAGGTTGGGTGGGTTCCAAGCACAGCAACTGTCCCCCATCAATTCAGAGGAGAGGACTTGGAATTTCAGATCAGGATGGGATTTGGTAAGTGGCATAATAAATCCATATCTCTCTGATATTTCTGTGTCCTGTGTACTTAATAATGTTTACAGATAAATCTCTCAAAAGAAGGAGGGCTTTCAGATAAATGGTAGATACATAAACTGAGGGTCTGAAGTTTATGCACTAACAGTAGCTGGTCCATTGCCATAGCACACTCAGTCCTTGACCTTGACCTTAACCTGTTGAGAACACTGAAAATTGCTATGTAAAAGTACACCTGGCACTTTCCTGGTTCCAAAATTAGCATCTGATTCTATGTAATTATTTCTCTTAGAGTCAGTGGTGAACTTCACCCCATAGTTTTTTTTTTCTTTTCTTTTCTTTTTTTTTTCTGAGGAGGAGGAGCTTCAAACTTCAAACTTAAAAACTTCAAACTTAACGTACACGTAGCATGAGGGCACTACTTTTTGCTTAGCAAGTTGAATGAAGTATTTCATTTAACGTAACCAATCAAAATTTAAGATTATATAACAGAAGATCAGGGGTGGGGGGTGGGCAACGACACATTACAATTAAAGAGGTGAATATTTAAAAGACTGTCCCCATTATCAACGCATAAGATATTTTTATTCAGGAGTATCGGGAATGAGGCATTAAGTCTGAAAATCAACTCGGTTTCTCAAAAGGCAAATATTTCTGTTTGTGGAACAGAACTCATCATTTATTTGATGTAAGCAGTAGATGCAGAAAGCTCAGGATGGGTTTGTCAAGTTAGGAAAGACACAGCACTTGGCAAACCAACACTTGGGTACATTCTGGACTTACGGTATGCAACTGCAGCTCATGTAAGCAGTAGGTCAGAGAGTCACACACTTAAATCATCTCAGAAAGAGGAGAAACTCGGGGAAAAAAACCTCTAAAAACAAGCACCTCCAGGACTTTTTCAGCAACAACTTCACTATTTAACCTGTATCTCGCCAGCTGATCACAAATCTTCCCCTAGCCCCAGTTTAAGTCTTCAACCCCAGAGTAAACCCTTCCTTTCCTTTTTAACTGTCCTCACCAGAAAGTGAGCATAGTTGATTGATTGCGCTTACCTGCCTAATAATTCCATTCACATATAAGTATTTTTTAAAAGATTTATTTATTTAAGAGAGAGAGAGCACGCACGCGCACTGGCACAATTAGAGGAGCAGAGGCAGAGGGACAAGCAGACTCTCCACTGAGCACAAAGCCTATGCAGGGGTCCATCCCAGGACCCTGAGATCATGACCTGAGCCAAAGTCAAGTCAGGCTTAACAGACTGCATCACCCAGGCACCCCCGTTCACTTATTTTTAAACATTAAATTATCTCAGCCTTGAACCCTCCAGTCTGCATATCCTCATTTCATGATCCTTACTTCCTAGATAGCCTGCACCACATAAGAAACCCACCAAACGTTGGGCTCTGCTCTGACTGCTCACCAAAACTCTCCACCTTCTGTCTAAACTGTGGGGCTCAGAAATCCACTAAGAGCGAAGGCTCACATCACACTGTTCCCAAGAGATTTCCCTTAAAACTCCAGAAGCTCCAACTGCACCAGGCAAAAAGGTAAAGTGCAAAAATTTACATCAATCACAATAAAAAACTGGATCAAGAATCCAACAAGTCTGAGTGCCTCCATTTTTAAACGTAGCTGGAAAATTTAAGGCAATTCACCAATTATTTTAGGTTGTTCTCCATTTTGATTATAATATTCATTCAGCACTGCAGTTTCTCTCAGTCTTTAGTAGGAAATGCAAGCCTTGGAGTGTTGCAAACATCCTGGCTGTCAGTGTCAGAAAAATAACGGGAGAAGGAAAGTGGGTAAAAGTAAGTTCAAGGCCACACATCATTTTTTCTTTTAAAGGAAGAAGTCTGCAACAATTGGCAACATAGAGCACTTCCAATTCTTGAAATTCTTCCTTAGTCACAATTATTTCAAAGCGGCAAGATATGTTGAGCAAAATTCCCCCAAATATAAATATCAAGTAACCTGCATGAGGCTTTTTAAACATGCACAAAGCACTTAACTAACACAAAATCTGCTACAAGTGCTCCAACAATACCTTCACCCAGGCAGCCAGTCCCCCGCACAGGGGATCTGCAAGCCCCTGCACTGTTAGAAGGCGCAAGGCACGGAAAACAAAGATTTCAACCAAATATGGTTTGCCTCTCGTCGAGTTTTCAGCAAGACCCTGTAAAAATAAGTCCACAAAAAACCAGCCAAGCATTACTTTTCTCCCAAAGTGCTTCTTGGATTATAAAACAGCTTTGAAAGTTCAGCCTGACAAAACAAATATGGTACTAGGAGAGCCCTGGAAGGCAACCACAAAAAGTCTCATTTAAATTCCTGGAAAGCAGGGCTTCCCCAAATACAGCTCTAGCTTTGGAAGGCACCACTTGCTGCGAGCCACAAGTTTAACTTCACTCCGTGCCCCAGCGCCGTCAAATCCGAAAGAGGCGGATATAAACGCTGCTTATCCAAAAGAACGCATCGCAGATCTTCTCTGCACGGTGAAAAGTACAACTTAAAAAGCAAGAGTTTCCCTCGTGCAAATGCGTAGGAATGAACACCCGGGGACGTGGGATGCGGAGGATCCCTTCTGTCCCTAAACATTACAGCTACAGCGAACCAGAGATCAATGGAACACACTTTCGGCTTTAAGAAGTGCAGTTCTGCAGGGCGGTGGGGTCGAGGGAGGCAGTTAAGAGCCCCGATTCCCTCCCAAAGCCAAATTAAATAGAATAAAAGATCGCCGTCGTAGTGACCGAACGGCAGGAGCACAACGGCGTCCACCGGTGCCCAAAGCGCAAGCCCTCGGTTCGCTCACCCCCCGCAGAACGCCTTGCCTCTCCCCCAAGCCCTCGGCGTCCGCGCGCCCACAAGCCCGGGTCCCGGTCGCCAGCCCCTGTCCCTGCGGAGCGGCGCCCCGGCTGCAGCGGCCCGAGGCCCCCGCCGCCCGCCGCCCGAGCAGCGCGGCCGCCGGACCCACCTTCTCCGCGAGGCGCGGCGTCCGACCCCGGGACTCGGCGCTGCCCGGCCGCGCGGCGCTGGAGTCGGAGTCGGAGGCGCAGGCGGAGGCGGAGGCGCAGGCGGAGGCGGAGGCGGAGGCGCAGGCGGAGGCGGAGGCGCAGGCGGAGGCGTGCCTGTCACGCCGACTCCCCGGCAGCCGCTCGGGCGCGCGCGCCACGCGCTCCCACCGCCCTCGGCTGCCCGCGGAGCCAGGACCCGGGGCCGGGGCGCCCGACGCGCGCCGCGGAACTTGGGGCTGCGGGGGCCGAGCGCGGCTCAGAGCCTCTGCCCGCGGCCGCCCCCGCCCCGCCCCGCGCAGCCACCTCCCCGCGCCGCCTCCGGAGCCCCCGGCGGCCCGCGCTCGCGTCCCGGGAGGCCTGCGGGATCACCTCCCCCGGGCCGGAGCCTCGGCGCCGGGCGGCAGCTGCAGGCGCGGCGGGGGGCTCGGCCTCGGGGCCGGCGCGGCGCAGCGCTCAGCTCCGCGCCGCGCGCCTCATTGTTCCCGGCAGCGCGGCGGCGGCCGCGGCGGCGCGGGCGGCGGGGTGGGGGGGGGGGAGCCGCGGCCCGGAGCCCCGGGGCGAGGCGGCGGCTCCCGGCCTCCCGGCCCCCCGGCCCCCGCGCCCAGCTCCCGCCGCGCCCCGCCCCCGGGCTCCGCGCCTCCCCTCCGCGCGCCCCGGGCCCCCCTCCCTCCGCCGGCGCCTCCGTCCTCCGCCTTCCCGGCCTTGGCTCACCTAGCGGCCGGGCGCCGGGCGCCGGGAAGTTGCACAGTCCGCTCCCCGCGCCCCCGACCCGCCGGGGGGGTGCACGGCGGGGCGCTCCCCGGCTCGGCGCTGATCCGTGCCCCCGGCGGAGAGCGACTGCAGACTCGGGCGGCGTGGGGCGCGCGGGCGGCGCGGCTGCCTAAAAAGGCATGTCTCTCCGGGCCGTCGCCTGCAGCCAGCCCTCGCTCCTCCGAGGGTTACCTGCGCCGGCTCCGCGCGGGGCAGCCGGCGGGCACCGGGGACGCGCGGGCGGCAGGGATGCAGGAATGCGGCCGGGCCGCGAGCGGCGGGCAGAGGAGTCCGGGCGCCCGGCTCCGCGGAAGTGAGTCTTTGTGTTCCCCACTTGAACACACCCTCCCGCCGCGCCGCAGGCCGGGCTACCTGCGCAGGAGGCAGCGCCCGCCCGCCGGCCGGGTGGGGCGCAGGGCAGCGCAGCATCCTCCCCGGCCCGCGGGCCCCTTTGTTCCCCCGCGCGGCCGCCGGCTCCTCGCCCCGGAGAGCTGCTCCCGGGCGCCCTGGGTCGGGCTCGGACTTGGGCACCAGCCACCTTCCACTTGCAGAGGGCCTCCCGCCACGTCCGGGGCAGGAATTCTGTAAAGGCCCGCACCTCCCCACCTCCCCACCTCCCCACCTCCCCACCGCCGGCCCCTGTCCCCAAGGGGACGGGAAAGTTCTCGGGACGGCGGCGCCCGAGGCCGCTCGTTGGGCGCTCGGAGCACCGGCCGCGGGCGCGGGTGGGGGGGGCCGCCGGGAGCCGCAGATCGGGTGTCCGTCTGCTCGCGTGCGGAATGTCCCTCTGTCGCCGCGGCCCTCCCGCCCTTCCCGGGGGCCGCAGCCGGCCGCGGGACTCGAGACCGCGCCGCCCTTTGTTTGCCGACAAACACGCTCCTTTGAACTTCGACGTGGCTCGCCGCGTGCGTGCGGGTGGCGCTGGGACCCCGCCGCGGGGTCGGCTCCCGGCCGAGGACCGGGCGGGTGTGGGAGAGCCCGCAGGTAGAACAGGTTGAGGTGGGTGGGATTACACCTGGAGGGCCAAGTTACCCTCTGTCCTCCGCAGCGCAGGTCCCTGCAGAGGTTAATAACATTTCGGAGACAAGTCCTTCACTAAACACACCACTTTAAAATTTGTACGACGTTCATTTGACTAATTAAGGCTTTTTAAACTTAAACAATTACCGAGGCACCCATGTCATTCAGCCTCACAGAGTGCCTACTGTGTGCTGGGGACCCGGGTTCCGCAGTAGGCGTGTAAAGGTGATGGAAATCCCTTTCCTACCGTCCAAAGGCTTGCAGAAATTTAAAACGTCACGGGGGTCAACTAAAACTGACTGGGCAAAATGCACTGCGCTCCATCAAGAGCATGTGTCCGGAAAGCTTACTCAGTATTTCCCGGGTTATGCTAATGGTTTCTGACACCTGGAATTGGCCAGAACTGCATGGAGGGATAATGTGTCACACGGATTTAACAACAAGGACGACTGTATTCCACTAGTGTGAAATACTATAGTGGGGCTAAAAGAAAGTTCTGGAAAAAAAAAAAAAGGAACGTGATAGGGTCCAGTGGCTCGTGGAGGTGGAGGAAGGAAGTGATGCAAGGCGGGAAGTAACCCCCTTATCAACTGGAGCAGGTCACGAACTGTGGACCCTGCTTTTCCATTCTGTGTAATGCATGTAATGGTACCTACCTTCAAGGTTCGCTGTAAGAAGTAGAGATCGGGTGTTAACAGTGTCTCTTAGGGCCTGGAATCTGATACTTAATAAATTCTACTACTTAATAAATAATGCTGTTAAAACAATTTAACAGTGAAGTAAAAAAATAATTTGTATACATTTCTTGTATATTCTCATATTTGTATATATTTCTTGTTTCTTTGCATGCATGCTGAGAGAGTTGACATGTTGACTACCATAAAGAAATCTTAATGAGAAGTTAAAGAAGACAGTGTATGTTCTCATTCATTTGGGGAATATGAATAATAGTGAAAGGGAATTTAAGGGAAGGGAGAAGAAATGTGTGGGAAATATCAGAAAGGGAGACAGAACATAAAGACTCCTAACTCTGGGAAAGGAACTAGGGGTGGTGGAAGGGGAGGAGGGTGGGGGGTGAGGGTGAATGGGTGACGGGCACTGAGGGGGACACTTGACGGGATGAGCACTGGGTGTTATTCTGTATGTCGGTAAATTGAACACCAATAAAAATTAATTTATTAAAAAAGAAAGAGAAGTTAAAGAAGAGTGGCCAAATAACAATTAACTTGATGCTTGTAGAAAAATTACCACTTGAAGGCAACTATGCAAATTATTGTTGTAAAATTTAAAGTGAATTGAGTTTATTATTTACGATTATTATTTATGGGGGTACTAAATGAAGTGGTACTAAAGTGGCATAATCTATTGCCTCCTGAAGAAATCAGAAAGCCAGTTGATGTACATAAAGCTATCAACTGATGATTCTTTCTGTCAAAGTGTAATGGTAAATAAAATGTTTTGACATCCTTTAATTGCTTACAGGAATGCCAAATAGGAGCAGATTATTTAATGTTTTTATGAGTCTACCAATTGGTGAGACATTCCTGGGCTGTTCTGGCACTTAAATATCCCTTTCCTTAAACAGAACAAACCACAACAAAAAACCAAAATAAACTTACTCCTCCAAATAAGAAAAATTCCAGAAACTTGCTTGCTCTTACTCATTTGCTCATAATAACTTTAATCTCCTTTTCTGTTTTTAAACTCAGGACTCCCTCCACTGTCCCACCCACTATTGACCCATGATGGGCTATATTTCACAGGAAACATTCCTTCTGTTTTCGGGAACTTGTTACTGGGTAGCAGTCAAATCAGGAGGCTCAGTGAATCTCCCAGCTGGGAAGGATTTGAGTTTGGGTAGGAACTGAATTGCTGAATCTGGAGTATTTCTTTTCACTTAAGTACTGTTTATAGAAAATACTTCTCTTATTTATTGTGCCATTTAGCTGTCACAGTAAACCCACAGATTCTTTTACAGGTGGGGAAACTGAGGCTGAGAACTTTTTTTTTTTTTAAGTATCATTTTTCTCTAAGCATTTTTTCTTCTGGTCTTGACTCACCTGTGATCACCATTCTGTAAAATGCATTTAGCACCTCAGGGAGGGAAATTGCCTATAGATGTGTTCTTCATATTTAATCAGTGAAACAAATCTGTATGTGGTCAGTGTAAAAAAAAATGAATTTCAGATACTCATTTGTTTGGAGCCCATTATGCGATACTAAGATCAGGAGGAAGCATTTGTTGTCTAGCCAACCCATATAGATTTTTTAAAATTTAATTAATTTACTCTTTAGAAATGTTAATAAGGAAACCGACCCTTATGAAGAAGAAACAACTCTGGGAATTTGGACGTGTGTGGAGGTCAGAATCTTGGGCATGCAGGGGGACCCCCTCCTCTCAAGCACGGGCACGCACACACACACACACACACACACCCATACACACACACACACACACACACACACACACACACACACCATTCCTTCCAATATTTCCAGGTGGAGAGAAAGACAAAAACTTTTCTAGCTTAAGAAAGATGTCATTTCAGCATCAGATACAGAAGGAAGGTTACAAATGCAAATAGTTGCCTCATCTGCAGTGAGCACCACTCCCAGCCCAGCCTGGGGCTCCGGGCTAGGTGACTGAGCTGGCCTCAGGGCTAGGTTAAGGGGTCACCACCTGACCTCTCCTAGCCAATCTGTTCCTTTCAGACAAAGCAGCATGAAAAAAGTCGGGGTGGGGACGTTTTTCTTTTCCCTAAACTTTTCCTTGCTATCGAAAGGATAGGACTGAAAGCCACACCTTTAGTTCTGAGCTTGTCACCTTGGTGAAGTCATTTGAGCTTGCTGTTCCTCAGTTACCTCACCAACAATACGGAGTAACCCATTGCAGTTACTTACAAGCATCTAAGCTCACCACAAGCTGAGGAACATGTGCAAGGGTACAGCGCTTCACTGTTTATGTCAGGGTTTTCCTGTCAATTATCAGAAACATTGGCGAGCGTACAGCACTTCACAATTTATGTAAAGGATTTCCTGTCAATCATCTCACTGGATTTTCCACAACTCTGAATGATGAAGGGAAGGTAGGAAGGCACACAGAGGGGTGGCCCTGTCACTTCTTGATTCTGCAGTAATAAGATGTAGGCACTAAAATTTTTTGAATCTATGTTCTAAGCTCTTTATAAGTATCAACTCATTTAATCCTTGTAGCAAAGGTTTTTAAATTTTTTTTTCATTTTCAACCTTTTATTTTGAA